AGAAGACCTCCAGAAATTGAAATTAAGCGAAGTGTTGTCCTTGTCGTCACCGCTTTCCTTGCTGAGAAATGTTTGGTTTCATGTCGCCCTGTTTTTCTGTAGACGGAGACTTGAGGGGCAAAGAAGTTTGACAACGAACAGCTTCAACTTTGAAACCGATGCGGCTGGAAGAAATTACGCAACCATGAGTCACGATGAATTATCAAAGAATCATCCCGGAGGACTAAAGGACGTTGAAAGTACAGAAAAAGAGGCCAGAATGTATGAGACCGAAGACCAAGGTGACGGCTACATGGCACTCAGATTGTATCTCCAGAAGGTACATCCAAAGTGTACCACATTTTTCCAGTATCCGAAGAAAAATAACATGGCTCTAGACGCCGTTTGGTACGAAGCACGACCGCTTGGAATAAACCGCCTCGCCAAAATGGTGAAGACCATCAGCGAAGAAGCACGTTTATCCAAAATCTGCGCAAACCATTGTGTAAGAGCCACTGCCATCTCTCTCTGGTCCAACGCCAGGATTTCAAACCGCCACATCATGGCCATTTCTGGACACCGCAGTGAGCAGTCTCTTGTAAGCTGACAATTCGCGGCCTTCGACCTCACAGCTCCATAACTGCAGCCCGAGAGCCTTTTCTCCTTCTGCCATCAATCACAGCCAACCATCAGAAACTTCTCAGCAATCCACCTCGTTCCAGACCAAACAAGTCACAACGAAATCACTCTTCGGCGAATGCACTATTCAAAACGTGCAAATTGTTTTCAACGGTTCTGTCAACCTCTGAAATTCAGTCCATTTTTAAATGATTTTGGATGGTTGTCAAATTTCTCCAGTTTGTTGATAATTCTGCTGAACTCTTTCACCAGTTGTTGGATACAGACCTTATAAAGAAGAATTTGAGTGATATTTCAGGAAACGTGATTAAACTTTATCGAGTTGCTGGTGTACAGTCGATTGTCATTATGTAGAGTTATTCGAGTTACTCTTTGTATTATGCCAAGTTCTGATTACAATAAACGACAGACGCCGCATTAAGCCACTGAAGCATCCTTTGTCATTCATTAAGTTCTGTAGAGAACATACATTGAATTGAATCCCAGGCCGCAAGCCCGCCCATGCAGCTTCGAGCCTCGTGTTTTTAAAAGTCGCTTGGGTTCCCATTTTGCTTGCTCAAATAAAACAGGATAAATAAGTGATGAGAAACTACAGGGCAATCGAATCTTTTTTGGAGGAAAACGTCATCGAAGCGTAATTTCTTGACTAATCGAGAAAACAGTAATTTGTTTTGCGTTTTATCTGTCATACTATTGATAACTAACGTTTTTTTCAAGTGCCATAGCAAAGTTAACGCAAAAAGCCTATTGGACCGCATTTGATTGGTGGCTACACACCATCAACCTTTCAAAATCAAACAAAAGTATTCATGGCTTTTTGACTTTCACTTTAAAACATTTTGCATTCTTCCTTGTTGCCTGATTGTACACGATCACAAACGGTAAGAATGTACAATATGAGATTGTTTTTCTACTAGCAATCAAAAAATCAATCCCCAAACGCCTAACAAGAAACATCTTTGACTCCTAATCACTAAATTTTGAAGCTTGACTCCGCATTATTCCATTCACAGTTCATCCATACTACAGTTAATCGTGCAGGTGAGTTTAGAAGGAAACGGCATCAAAATAAACAATCATGGCTTGAAGTGATTCTGAATTATACGACGTGGTAGTGGTCGGTGGTGGTCCCATGGGATTATCCACAGCATACCAATGCGCCGTTAAAGAAGAAAAGAAAGTAATGGTCATCGAGCCGTTTTTAATTTGGAAACACATATGGATCAAGTCCCGGGTTTGGTCGCCAATTTCGTATCTGCTACTCAGAGCGTTATCTGTGCCAACTGGCTATCAAGTCAAGTAAAGAATGGGATAAACTCATGCAAGAGTTGAAGAATAGCTCCCTTGTGGATCGAACAGGCTGCATTTGGTTTGGCGATGCTACCCGAATGCAGCGAGCCGCTATGTTCCAATAGTGGGTAGGTCCACCTTAGAGGAATAAACTTAGATGTCAAACAGACATCTTACCATACAAATCCAAATGCGAAATGATTCAGTGAAGAAATGTCGCAGTCAGGTTTTAATCAATGAGTGTACGTAGAGAATGACATTTTGGATTTTATTTCTAGTTACTCATATGTTTACTTCCCTTATATTATACAGTCTTTCTACTGTCTAAAAAATAGAAATGTTCTCAATAAACGTCACACCAATTGAAAATGAATCTCAAAAACGCCCGTGGGAACGTGATTTAGCATTTGTGTTCTAAGAAATACCTGCGGCTACTATTGTTTCAATTGTTTGTAACTTTTCCCTAAAAGCTACTCCCAATCAAGATCATGGTGATCTTGCTGCGTTTCTAGTTAAGAAGGGCAATTCGTAAAATTCATTAGCAGTTGCTGTATTGTGAGAATGCATGTCACAGCTAATATTTCAATATACTATACCGTTTATTCATGCATAGCTTATAACCCAAATTATCGTCAATGAATGAATGAATGATGAGGCCCTCCACCTTTGCAAGATATACAGATTGTCTTTCAAATCATGCAGAAACACCACACCACAAAGTTTTTTATAGGAACGCTGATTTTTAAGCACACTTTTTCCAATTGTACTGCTAGTGATACTACTGTACGAAATTATAGTCAAATGTTATTCTGCCCGTTTAGTTTAACATTTCTTAAATAGATGATTCAGTATTTAGTAATCACAGGAGTGTCATTCCAATTATAATTCATTGTATCTATTTCTGTGGACATTTGTTAATCTCTTAGTTTTGGTCTTATTCCCTCAGGTATTCCATTCCTAAGGTAAATTTTTTGAAGAAACGGAACACTTTCAAAAACGTTTTTGCGTTGTTGTATGACGCATCATGTAAGCTTCGAGTTAGGCTTTGTATTATGCCAAGTGTCGGATGAAAATAAACGACAGACACAACCCTACGCCCTTCAAATATCCTTTGTCATTCATGAAGTTATTTACAGAACAAAAATTGAACTGAAGCCGCGTTCGCAAGTCCACTAAGAAGCTTTAAGCCTCTCCTTGCTTAGAGTCGCTCGACTTTCCACCCTGCTTGCACAAATAAAACAGGATGGATAGATGATGAAAGAAATACAGGGTTACATCCTTAATTAGACGTAAACGTTATCGAGGCGTAGTTTCGTGACTGTTTGGAACAACCTCAATGTGTTTGCTCTTTTGCGATTTCAGATCTCACAATGATCATTTACGTAATTCAAGTGTCATAGCAACATATGCTCTGAATGCTTGTAGGAGACATTTGATTAACGCAATTTGCGAATTATGCCAAGTTCTGATTAATATATAAATGATAGACGCCACGCTAAGTCACTAAAGCATCTTTTGTCATTCATGAAGTTATTTACAGAACAGAAATTGAATTTAGGGCGCGTTGGCAAGTCCGCCATGCAACTTTGAGCCTCACCTTGTTTAGAGTGGCTCGAGTGTCCACCGTGCTTGCAAAAATAACACAGGATAAGTAAGTAAGGAAAGAACCACAGGGTTACAGCCTTTATTGGACATAAAAATTATCGGAACGTTTTTCTTGACTGATTGAGACAACCTCAATGTGTTTGCTCCTTTGCGGTTTCATCTCACAATGATCATTTACGTAATTCAAGTGTCATAGCAACTTATGCTCTGAATGCTTGTAGGAGGCATTTGATTGGTGGCTACTCACTTCTTGACCTGTCAAATTCAAACCAAAGTGATTATGGCTTTTTCAATTTCATGTTAAAGCTCCCTGCTTCTGTTGCAACCGATTGGATTTGGTAATTCAAAGAGAAGCTCTTGACTACCTTGCATCCAGCGGGATTGATGTTACAACCGGTAAGGACATACCAGTAAGAGCCGTTTGTTTCAGTCCAGGGAGGGGTCTCTGACGCTTGCATAGAAAGTTCCATTAGAGTCCGAATTTAACCTTAGAGCTCTAATGTAGACTCGTCGGCGGTTCCTAAGATCACAGACTGTTCCGAAGCAATGTGTTTCGAATGCAATGTGTTCCGAAACAATCAGCAACAGCAAAAGTTAAAAATGTAGAGGTATATTATTTTGAGGGCAAAGATGTAATGAACATGAAGAAACTTTTAAAGACGCCTCGTCTAATTCTAGCATAGGGAAACTACAATCTTCCTTTTTCGGATCTCTTCTCTCTTACTTTTGACCATTTCCTCTGGCCAACGTCTTAATGGGAATTTGTTTGACAGTAACACTGCTGCGCAAATTGTTATTCCTCCCGTTCAATTTAATGTTCTTATTGTAGACTACATTTTGTAATTGTGGGAGTGCCATTCTGATTCACTGTACTTCATCAACATTGTCATGTGGCTGATTGATTCATGCAGCTCTTATTCGTTTGGTATTTCATCTGATTCATTTTCTGAAATAAATATTTCTAAGAAATGAAGCACTTTTGAAAGACTTTGTGGTGCAGTTGTATGATGTGCTTGAGAGGCTTTATTCTGGAGCGTTCGGGATAAAAGCGCGCTTCACGGTTTAAAAAATTAATGGGCACCTATGGCCCAGGTATCATAACAACTCTTGCTGTAAAAAGCTTGTAGGAGGCATTTGATCGGTGGCTACTCACTTCTCCACCATACAAAATGAAACCAAATTGATTATGGCTTTTTCAATTTCACATTACAACTTCCTGCTTTCGTTGCAACAGTTTCTGGAGTAAATATTTCTAAGAAATGAACCACTTCTTAAAGACTTTGTAGTGCAGTTGTATGACGTGGTTTATAAGCTTTATTCTGGAGCATTTGTGGTAGAAGCGCATGTAAACGGTTCCAAAGGCTTAACGGCATGGCATCTATGACGCAATTTGCTATTATTCCAGTTAGGCTTTGTAGGTGTTATGCCAAGTATTGGGTGAAAATAAATGACACACACCACCCAAAGCCCTTCAAACATACTTTGTCATTCATGAAGTTATTTACAGAACAGCAATTGAACTGAAGCCCCGTTCACAAGTCCCCCAAGCAGTTTTAAGCCTCTCCTTGATTAGAGTTTCGACTTTCCACCGCTCGACTTTCCACCCTGCTTGCACAAATAAAACAGGATGGATAGATGATGAAAGAAATACAGGGTTACATCCTTAATTAGACGTAAACGTTATCGAGGCGTAGTTTCGTGACTGTTTGAGACAACCTCAATGTGTTTGCTCTTTTGCGATTTCAGATCTCACAATGATCATTTACGTAATTCAAGTGTCATAGCAACATATGCTCTGAATGCTTGTAGGAGACATTTGATTAACGCAATTTGCGAATTATGCCAAGTTCTGATTAATATATAAATGATAGACGCCACGCTAAGTCACTAAAGCATCTTTTGTCATTCATGAAGTTATTTACAGAACAGAAATTGAATCAAACAAAAGTATTCATGGCTTTTTGACTTTCACTTTAAAACATTTTGCATTCTTCCTTGTTGCCTGATTGTACACGATCACAACCGGTAAGAATGTACAATATGAGATTGTTTTTCTACTAGCAATCAAAAAATTAATCTCCAAACGCCTAACAAGAAACATCTTTGACTCCTAATCACTAAATTTTGAAGCATGACTCCCCATTATTCCATTCACAGTTCATCTATACTACAGTTAATCGTGCAGGTGAGTTTAGAAGGAAACGGCATCAAAATAAACAATCATGGCTTCAAGTGTTTCTGAATTATACGACGTGGTAGTGGTCGGTGGTGGTCCCATGGGATTATCTGCAGCATACCAGTGCGCTGTAAAAGAAGGAAAGAAAGTAATGGTCATCGAGAAGTACAAATTTGGAAACGCATGTGGATCAAGTCCCGGGTTTGGTCGCCAATTTCGTATCTGCTACTCAGAGCGTTATCTGTGCCAACTGGCTATCGAGTCAGGAAAAGAATGGGATAAACTCATGCAAGAGTTGAATGATAGCTCCCTTGTGGATCGAACAGGCTGTCTTTGGTTTGGCGATGCTACCGTCGAAAGCAGTGAGGGCAACATCGACAAGGCGGTACAGAACCTTAAAGAGCTGGGTGTAGGTGACTACGACTTACTTGAAGGCAAAGAAGCAATTCAGAGCGATGAGCGGTTTACCTTCATTTCGGATGCGGTGAACGACATCGATAAACCAAAAGCTCTCTATGTTGGTGATGGGGGTACCATAAATGTTCCTGCCGTTATCGAAGGCCTTTGCAAGATGCTGAAACGTTCAAGTACAGCTCAACTTGTGGAAAATGCGCCTACCAAATGCATTGATTACAGCTTGGATGATGAGGTGAGAGTGTGGATCGATAAGCAGCCGTTTTGCATCCGGACCAAGAAAGTGATCCTGACGCCTGGAAGCTATATTAACGACCTCTTATCAGCTCTAACACCCACCTTCACGGAAAGGATCAACCTCACGATCTATCTATGGAGCTCCACCTACTTCATTCCTTCTTGGCCTTCAGCTTCAAAGGAGAAGTGGCCTATCTGGTACTTCTTCGGTCAGCCGAACGAGAACAACCTAAATCTATACTACGGTTTCCCAAGCGAAAAGAAGCGGCCTGACTACGTCAGAGTTGCCCCAGCATTCACATCAAGCGAGCGATTTGACTTCAAGCTTTATCCACCAGACATTAGCGACAGACCACTTGATCAAGACGCCCTAAAGTTCACTGCTGACTTTGTGAAGAAATCAATGCCTTCTCTAGTCCCTCAACTATTAATAGAAGAGCAGTCAACATGCCTTGCTGGCTTTGCTGAATCCAGTGATAGTGATGACGACGGTGTCGGTTTCGTTTTGGATTTTCTGCCAGACGCACGCAGCAATAATCGAATCCTTCTTTTTACAGGTGGATGGGGTATGAAGTTTGTACCTGTTATTGGAAAGGTACTTGCAGATTTGGCGATTAAAGGAACGACAGAGTACAGCAAACTCATTAAGCCATGGAATATCAACCGTGGTGTGCTCGTTAAAGAGAGAGGTAGCACCAACACGGCTCAGCAATCAGTAAAATGTACCCGATTGCAGCGAGCCACTATGTTCCAAAAGTGGGTAGGTCCACCTTAAAGGAATAAACTTAGAGGTCAAACAGACTTTTTGCCAAACAATTCCAAACGCGAAATGAGGTAGTGAAGAAACGTCCTAGTTTTAATCAATGAGTGTACGTTGAGAATGACATTTTGGATTTTATTTCTAGCTACTTATATGTTTACTTCCCTTATATCATACAGTCTTTCTACTGTCTGAAACTAGTAATGTTCTCAGTAAACGTCGCACCAGTTGAAAATGAATCACAAAAACGCCGGTGGGACCATGAATTAGCATTTTTGTTCTGAGAAATACCTGAAACTATAGTTGTTTTAAATTGTTTTGTACCTTTTCCCTAAGCCCCCCCCCCCCAGTCTAGATAATGGTGATTTTGATGGGTTTCTAATTAAGAAGGGCGTTTTGCAAAAGTTATTAGCAGTTGCTGATTTTGTATTGTGAGGATGCATATCACAGCCAATGTTCCAATATACTATACCGTTTACTCATACATAAAACGTTGCCCAAATTATAGCCAATAAATGAATGGTGAAGCCCTCTACTTATGCAAGACATTCAGATTGTCTTTCAAATCATGCAGAAACACCACACCACAAAGTTTTATATTGGAACGCTGATTTTTAAGCACACTTTTCTAATAGTCCTCGTCTAATTCTATCCTAGGGAGACTACAGTATTCCTTTTTCGGATTTCCTCTCTTTTGCCTTTGACCATATCCTATGGTCTGTGTCTTAATGGAGATTTGTCTGAGAGTAACACTGCTAGACAAAATGTTATTCCGACCGTTTATTTAAACTTTCTTCCTATAGACTGCATTTTGTAATTAGGGGAGTGTTATTCTAGTTCATTGTTTTTCGTTTACATTGTGAAGTGTTCGTCTGGTATTCCATCTGAATCACTTTCTGGAGTAGCTTTTTCTAAGAAATGAAGGACTTATCTTAAAAGACTTATTAGTGCAGTTGTATGATATGTTTGATAGGCTTTATTCTGGAGCGTTCGTGATAGTAGCGCGCTTCACGGTTCAAAAATTTAAGTGGCACCTATGGCCCAAGCATCATAACAACTCTTCCCGTAAACGCCTTGAGGAGGCATTTGATCCGTAGCTACTCACTTCTCCACCCGTCAAAATCGATCCAAAGTGATTATGGCTTTTTCAATTTGACATGATCATACCTTCCTGCTTTCATTGCAACAGTTTGGATTTCGTTATTCCAGAAATGAAATGGTTGATTGGTTCATGCAGCTCCTATTCTTCTTCGTTCATGAAGTTCTTTACAGAACAGAAGTATAATTAAAGCTCGGGTCGCAAGTCCGCCATGCCGCTTTGAGCCTCACCCTGTTTAGAGTCCCTCGAGTTTCCACCGTACTTGTCCAATTAAAACAGGATAAATAGGTAAGTGAAAGAACTACGGTGTTACAACCTTAATTAAAAGTTATCATTGTCAGGACGTAGTCTCATGACTTTTTAAGACAACCTTAATGTGTTTACTCCTTTGCGTTTTCATCTCTCACAAGGATTAGCTACGTAATTGGCAGTCTGCATCACCCAGAGCAAAGGTTAAAAATTTGGAGGTATATTATTCAGTCAGCACAAAATGCAGACTGCACACTGGGTAAAAAATGCAGACTAGGTAATAAATGCAGGCTGCGGACTTGGTACAAAATGCAATCCAGAGACGAAATGCAGATTACAGATGCAGTCTCAAAATCCAGTCTCAGCATTGAAACTGTTTTTTTCTCGTCCGAACATGATAACATGTTGGTGAACTTATAAGCATCACAAAAACAAAATGCACAATTAAAGTTAAGGGCTCTTGTGGAGGCGCGGTGGCCTCATGGTTAGTGCACTCGACTCCGCATCGAGTGGTCTGGTTTCGACTCCTTGCTGAGGATATTGTGTTGTGTTCTTGGGCAAGACACTTTACTCTCACAGAACCTCTCTTCAAGCCGGATAATAAATGAGTACCGGAGAATTTAATGCTGGGTGTAACGTTGCGATGGACTTGCATTCCATCCAGGGGGAAGTAGAAATACTCCTATTCACTTCATGCTACGGAAATCGGAGTTAAGCACCGGCCCGATGGGCTACTAGGCTCGTGAGCAGGCTTTACCTACCTCTACTTCTCAAAACAGACAAATATGCATGGTTTAATTTTAACTGTTACCATACTCCTTGGAAACCCTCGAAACAAATCCAGTCATTCGGGTCTAGGATGCTGCAGCCGTAAAAAAAAAAAAAAAAAAAAAA